CAGGGGGGGCTCAGGAGCCTTCCCATGCTATTGGTAGCTAGGGGAAATTAAAACCCCAGAGCCACAGCAGCCAACAGGAGGAGGAGGAGGACCACTAGCTGCTGCCTACAGCATTCCTCACAGGGGTCTGTGGCCCTGTTGGGAGTTGATGGTATTAAGGCTTTGCAGCAGCTCAAATAGAGAATTTTTAGCCCTGTGGCTTCCTCAGAGAAGTTCCTTGTGCACCCAAGGAGGCTGGGGATGCAGAACTCGCTTGCATTGTACAGCACCTACTGAGCCTGTGAACAGCAGGGAGCTACCGCCGGCTGCCTCGCTCCGACCCTTTGGGGTGTTTCTCCCAGCTCAAACACAGGGGAATGTGGCCCACACAGCCAAGCTCTGGTTAGCTGACCCCAGAAAAGCCACAGCCATTTGCTGTGGTTCTGCATGTCCCCACTGCAGTGCCATGGCTCCAGAGAAGGGCTCACAGGACCCCTGCAAGCATGGCCACAGGTTTGAGCACTGGGACCCACATGCTCCCTGGCAGAGCCACTGCCAGCCCCGAGGCGCTGGGAGAGGAGCTCGTTGCACTGGCAAAACCCTCACCATGGTGGTCTCAGTGACGGAGCCGAAGCTGTTGATGAAGATGTTGCACGTCACGTTGACAGGCGGACCTGGAAAACAGCGTGAAGCCTCCTCTCACCACTGGCCAGGGAGACACATGCAATGCACAGGCACATGTGGGGATGCTGCTTCCTGCACGCACTGTGCAGGTGAATGCACACGAGCATCCCCCTGCCCGCTGGGGTCACCCGCAGAGCGTGCTGAGGTGAGCTCCAGCACACCCTGCCAGCACTGCAGCCACCCATGCTGCCAGGCAAAGCAGGCACACACAGGGCGGCTGTGATCCTAGGGGCAGTTGGGACTCTAGGGAGGGTGGTGGGACAGAGGGACGTGGGTCAGGGTCCTTCCCCCAAACCCATAGCTGCCTGTTCCCTGGTTTTGGGCAGCCATAAGCATGGGTCGCTGCCAGGTTTGGGAGCCCCACGTCCTCCCCTTACCTTTGAAGTTGGGTCGAATCCGGGCGTCATACCTTGACGTTCGTCCCATAAGCTTGTCCAGGAAATCAGAAGGTGACATGGGCTGGGGCGAGCGTCGGGAAGCAGCTTTAATCTCCTCCCGCCCTGAGACCAGCCTGCGGGGCAGAGGCGGCAGGTTAGCTGCCTGCCAGCACCGGGGGTCTGCAGACACGTTTCAGCACCCTGTGGAGATTGCCAGCTGCCAGGGGAAGTGGCTGGGCCCCTGCTGCATCCACTCCAGTGCCGAGTCAGCGTGCTGACCCCGGGACCCTTTCCTTCTTCCGCTGTAATCCCGGCAGCTCCCTGCCTCGCCTGCCACAGCCTGAGTGCCACGTGCCCACGTTTTGCCCATCCCCCTGCCAGCAAAGCCCCTGCCCGCCGTGTCCCCTGGCATGGCATTTGGGGATGGGTGCCAGGGCTGTGGTGGGGACAGGGCACAGTGCACGATGGCCTCATGCATGGCAGCCAGGCTCTGTGCCAGTGCTGGAGCGGGAAGGTGGGGAGGGTCCCTCCTGGGTTCAATTGCCAGCCCCAGCTTGAGCTGCTGAGCAAACATCCATAGCCTGCCTGGCATAGACTCATGGCTTGAGGGGCTTGGGGGACACAACATCCCGCTCTAAGCCGTGGGCTCACCTGGCGTGAATGAGGAGGTGCCCAGGAGCGCACCTGGGGTTGTGACACCTTGCCAGGGGCCAAGGCAATGTGGCAGGAGAGCAGCAAAGCCCACCTCCGCACCGGCCGTGGCGTGGAGCTGACATGAGCTCTCCCACGCAGCACTCCCAACGATGATGGAGACTTATTTAAACTGACCTTGGAGGGGATATTTTTGTGAATGCATCTTAGCCTGCCAGTTTGTCTCCTTCTGTCAGTCTATAATGATAATTTCAAAGAACAATGCGAGAGACATTCGCTCACCACATTGCCAGGCATGTGGCTGTGATGGAGAGGAATTAGCTGGAGATGTCCGGACACAAAGGGAGCTTTGAGCACGCTGCTGATGCGGCTGCATGCTGCCCCATAACTCCGCCAGGTCGATGCCCAGGTGGGTCCCACTGTTCTTGGAGCTACAACCCCATTATCACAAGCAGAGGATGATGCTGGGAGCTGGGACCCCCTTGGGGTTTTTGTTCCTATCAACACACCTTTGTTCCTACCTCCTCTCAGAGGAGCGGCATTCATCCTGGAGGGGCTTATGTGCATTCTTACCAGATACTAATGGCCACAACAGCCACCCCAAAATGATCCAATGGGGTTTTCCCTTAATTGGAGACAGGCAGCAGAGAGTACCCAAGACTGGTCCTGGCTAAGAGCAAAAGGGAGAAATTCCCCCTCCAGGAGCTGCATTAGAGAGGTGTACCTTTGGGAGGAGGGCTGTGAGAGGCCAGGGTAACAAGGAGTTAAGTCAGGCCTCTGCCTGTCACATAGCCATGAACAAAGTCCTCCTCAGCTGGAGAGGAGGATGAAGGTTCTCCCCTGGAGCATGTAGGAGGAAAGCTTCCTTGGCGCAGCAGAAGAGGCTCAGCTAACTGGCCGAGCAGCGGCAGATCTGCAGCCCCAGCAATGCTCGGACCTTGGGGACTGCAGGGTCCGAAACGCCCCAGGTGCAGCCGCTGCCAGCGGCATCACTGGCGGAGCCACGCTGGCACACAGCCCCTGGGAGCAGCCCCTGGCTCCTGCCTCTTCTCAAGGTTTGGCTGCAGCTCCCCAGTTTGGGCACTGCCTGCCCCAGGGGACTCTGCCACTAACCTGGCCCAAGCACTGTGGGGCCCTGGAGCTCAGCACCTCTGCGGAGCGAGGGGATGGCAGGGCTGGTAAATGCTCACATCTGCCTAAAAATGCCACCTTGAGACAAACAGTTTCTGCTTGTGAAGTGGTGACATTTTGACACGATTTCCCTCCTCCCCACCACAAATGCTGCTGTCCCCCCCTCCCTGTGCTGCTCCAGCCATACTGGCCAAGTGGTGGGAGGGGGGAGTGGGGGCAGGGGACAGGCTCAGCCCAGGGGCACTGCAGCCTCCCAACCCCTCCCTGCTTGGCCCACTCTCCCCCGCATCCCACCTTGTCACAGATAGCACCCAAGGTGGCCGGAGAGGAAAAAAGAGACCTGAGGGCTTTGGATTTTTCATCCAAGTGGGCCAAGAGTTGTTCCTGCACCCACGGTACCTGGGGCACCCACTGGCCTGGGTGACCCAGGGGCTGGGTCACGGACTGCCCTGAGCCTCCCCCAAACACCCTGAGCCAGCAGAGGTTCTGGGCATCGCAGGGGCTTTGCAGCACTGGAGAAGGGGCTGCCTGGGCCATCACCTGGCTCAGCTTGCCCCTTCTCTCACTGTGGCAAGGTTCCCTATCTGGCCTAGGGCCAGGGGGACCATCGGGGACCCAGCAATGGGGCAGCAGCTGCTGGGGGCAGGCAGAGCCTGCCTGTGTGTGGCTGGGGCTGGAGAGGAAAGGTCTGGTGGATGCCCGCGGTGCTGGGTCAGGGACCCTGGGAATGGGGGATGAGGCCAGATTTGGGAAGCTCCGTCAACCTGCAGGAAGGTCCGGATCGGGGCTGGGAGGGTTCTGGCGGGGGGGAGCAGCCCCTGGATAGAGGTTCGGATTGGGCGTGGGGGTGCAGCCCCCGGGGC